ATCATATTCTTATGCATGCCAGTGCTGTGTGTGAGGTAATTTAAGGTGGTTCTGACAAGTGTCATCGGCATCTTCATATCTGGTCACATGGGCAGAGAGCCACTACCATCCGGTCACATGGGTAGCAAGCCACTCCCACAAAGGAGGCCACACCCACAGAGTAGGTTCGAACAATTTTTGAAACCCACCACTGTTGTGAACCCTCAATGTCTGGGAAGAAGGCAGGAATCTTAATAGTAAGACTGACATCTATTTTTGAAGACAATTCTTTTTGTCCCTTTTGTATCAGCCCTTTTGTATCAGCTACTATCAAGGATTATTACATGAATATGTTAAAATCTGTTTTAGATTTCTATTTCCTAATTATTTATTCACCTAGTTTCAATGGCTGCTTATAAATTTAACAACTATCTCAGCACAATCCAAATCAAAATGTCTGAAATCCCAATTTGAGATGAGCGGCTTCCAAATCGATTTAATAAGGAAATAAATGAACACTTGAACTTCTAGTACATAAAGCTTTAACTAACCCCCACTAAACTCCTGGGTGAACTCCAGAAGCCAGAATTAACAAACCGCCATTCAATGCATATAGAACGAATACCCAAAAGAATAAACCATCTATGCTTTAACATGATGTTTTGATTCAGGCACATCCTAGAAACAATTTCCCCACTTTTTCAAAATTGTCCACTAGAAAACTTGTGGACTTAAACTCCAGGAACTTACACTGGTTAAACTTAAAAACAAACCCTGATCGAATCGAATGCATAGCGTGAGAATGATGCACCTCAACCCCAGGCGCACCTCCAACGTCTTCCTTCTTTAGCAGGCAGAACCAGCTGGTGACAGCTCGCTTCCTTCGGCCTGGGAAGGGGGAGGAAAGGAGAAACCCCTTCTGGAAACGGGGCCAAGACATTTGCAGGAAATTGTCCAAGCTGATTTGAAGCGACAAATCTCCAAAGTCGACCTCCCTCCGCCTACCCAATGCATGCAGGGGTCACACACATCCCCTCCCCAACGAAACGGAGTCTAAATGTTTCCCACGTTTCTGGCGATCCTGGTTTATTTGTTTTTCTCCCAGGGGTCACAATTTTTGCTTTCTACCCTTGCATGCCCTGGGGCGGCAGGGGAACATGGGACCCCGGGCTTCCCTCTTTCCCACGACCTCAAACATTATGAAGGTTTGCATGTCTCCCTGAAACCCTCCGCCGCGAGATAAAAGACCCACCACGCTCACTGAACCCCCCCGGATCACGAGTGGATCGCCATCCGCTAAAATCTTCCTTTTACAGGCTCCGGCAAAAAAAAAGCTCCGCCTAAGGCTCGCAGCGAGGAGTGCAGGGTGGGGGGAGCAGAATCGGAAACTACAGGAAAGACTGACGCGCTTCCAGCCTTTCCTGACAAGAAAAAAGAAAAAAGAAAAAAGCTCAGGGCAACACGCGTATCTCTCGAGCTACAGAGTCAGGCGCATGCTCAGTTCCCTCCTGATGGGGGTGGAGGGTGCTCGGTTTTTCCAACAGCTACGGACAGAGCCCCCTGCTGGATTCTGCGCGCAATGCCAGAGCTTGCTTGGTTATTTGTTTGTTTGTTTGTTTGTTTATTCATTTATTCATTATTTATTTATTTATCATGAATTTTTATTAACCAATATTTAATATTTAACATTTAATATTTAATATTTAATATTATTCGATATTTGATATTCAACATTCAATATTTGATAATATTTGATAATATTTGATAATATTTGATANGGGAAAGGCTCTGATGAGAGTTCTGTGTCAGAGGCAGAGATGGGGCCAGGGCCGTACACCAGTTATCAGCTGCCTTCGGAGTCAGAGATCAGTGAGGCAGACGAATAGCTGGAGCCTGTTCCCAGTGTGCGCATGCACGGAGTTGCCAAACAAAGGAAACAGTTAAAGATCAGGAGTCAACGTGGATGGAAGGCCACAGGTGGACAATGAATGGCCCCTCCCAGAGGAAATAAAAAAGGAGCAAAAGGGGAGTGGAGTTTGCAGGAGACAATCAGTTCGATTAATTGGTTCATGACTCTCCAAGACTGCGTTACAAGTTTTGCAGATATCGGCCTGGCAGCTCTCCAAGTCAGATAAGGTCTGTGACTGTAAATCCTCCATTGAAAGACTTTGTTGGATGTGAATGAGCAGAATTCACAGTAAATTAATAAAAGGGTTTTTTGTTGGGACAAGGAGTTTGCTTCATGCTCTTTTGGGCAGCCAAGGTCAGAACAAGCTCTTGTTGTTGTTGTTGTTGTTTTTGGGGAGGGGGGTTGGTTCTCTTTTTGAGAAAGTACTTTGTGAGTGGAGTAGAAACAGAAACCAGACATGTCACTGGGAGGCAAAAATCACAAAACTTGGACTTATTTTGGCCACCTCATGTCAGGGAGTTCACTGGAGAAAGCAATTATATTTGGAAGAGTAAAAGGGAATCAGACCACCAAAAAAATGATAGCTGGACACCATCAAAGCTGGCAGCAGTCAGAGCATAGAACAACTCAAAAAATCATGCAAGATCAGAAGATGTGGAGACACGTGGCCCTTTGAATTACCCAGAGTTGGAAAAGACTGAATGGATCATCATCAGAAAGGTAATGCATTTCTGGGAAACAAAAATGTTAAGATTTCAAGAAATCTGTTCAGAATACATCCCACTGATTCCATAAACATTCATTGCATTTGGGGATCAATGACAAACGATATCCTAACATGTCAAGAGTCTTGTATATGAAGATTGTGTTATGTCACAACAATGATCAATGCATATCCTTCCTTTTCTTCATATATGAGCCATGGTGGCGCAGTGATTAGAGTGCAGTACTGCAGGCTAATTCTGCTGACTGCTGGCTGCCTGCAATTTGGCAGCTCAAATCTCAACAGGCTCAAGGTTGACTTAGCCTTCCATCCTTCCAAGGTGGGTAAAATTAGAATTGTTGGGGGCAATAGGCTGACTCTGTAAACCACTTAGAGAGGACTGTAAAGCACTGTAAAGCGGTATATAAGTCTAAGAGCCATTGCTATATATACCATTTCCTTTTTCATTTGTATCCCCCATAACTAAAACCTTATCAAAGTTTTGGGATGAACGAAAGTAACCAAACCAAAGTCATAAAGCTCAAGATCTTCTGGCTCCTATTCAAATACCCTGTCTAATGCCACACAGTGGGACACAGTGGCTCAGCGGCTAAGACGCTGAGCTTGTCGATCAGAAAGTCAGCAGTTTGGTGGTTCGAATCCCTAGTGCCGCGTAACGGAGTGAGCTCCTGTTCCTTGTCCCAG